CCGCCGCCCGCCAGGCACCCCCCTTCGGCGACATGACCTCCTAGCGGCAAACAGACACGCAAACAAAAAAGACGGAGTATTCTGTACACCCAGGGTTTCGGGTTTTCTTTTCAGCGGTATTTATTTCCTCGCGCGCCTCTGACGGGGCGCCCCGGCCCCGTGCCGGTCGAGGCCCTCCGCTCGGGAAGGCCGAGTCGGGGCCGCGGCGGCACCTTACCGCCCTCCAGTTAAGGGGGTTCGGCGTGGCCCCCCTCGTTTCGTTTCTCGACGGCGTTTTCCTACGTTAGGAGCGCGACAAGACAGAGCCCGCGGCTCGCTGAGCCCTGTCTGAGACGCCCTAGCCGCCTGGCGCGCGCGAAAACACGTTGCTTTTTTTCCCAAAGGAACCGCAATCGGTTCCTTGAAAAGAAAGCAATTTAATCAATTGCAAAGCAATTATATGAAACCACGGGGAATGTACTGAACCCACGCGCGTGCATCGGGTCCCCCGTGCCGCCATCTGGCCGGTCGAGGGCCCGGCGAGACGCGCAGGCGGCTTGAGCGTGGAGTTCCCCTCCATTTCTTCACACGCCTCTGAACTAGGACTGGCTTGTCTGGGGGGCTTAGAAGCGCCTCGTTTTGTCCGTGACGTGGAGATCGTGGTTAGGGAAGCATTTCTTTACAGTAATTCCCTTTTTACGTTTAGGCTCTGAACTTTCTCACACACACACACCCCCGCCCCGCCCCGCCCCTGAAGATGGTCAGCACCTAGCACAAAGGAGGTCTCCTCGGTCTCCCTCTAGTGCGCTCTTTGGACACGCCCGCGTCTCTCTGGCAGCCAACCTGGACCCTGGGTTTGGCGCAGGGGAACTCACCGACATTATCTCATACAATAAACCGAAGGCTCTGTTCTGTGTTATCGAAAGCTGTAGCGGTATCTTGTCACAACTGTGCTGTGAAAACGCTGAGACCCCTTTCCATAGAGAAACGGAACCCCCAGTCCTGCGGCCCGCAGGCGAGACGTCCCGCGCGTTTCAACGACCCACCCGCTCGGGGCTGTGCTGATCCCCTGGCAGGATGGACATGCAGCTGGCCGTCCAGCAGGTCAGCGCTGACCACGCTGAGCACCGCTGCTCCAAAGCCATCAGAGCCGTAGGCCTGAACTCCCCCGTCAGCTGGGGCTTGGGAGCTGAGGGCTCCCCGTGAGACCCAGAGCCCGGCACCCCCGAACTGTAATAACTCCCGGGAGCCCCGCTTTCTGGTCATCTCACAGCTGAAGCCAGACTCCCTTTTGAGGCTCCCAGAATGTATACTGACCTTAAAAGCCATGGGGGTGTGCACGTACCTTAACACGTCTGAAGCGTGCTGAGAAGCCGTCCACGGCCTCTGTCCGTGTCCAGCGGCAGCCGCCATCTTGTCGGCTGGCGCCAATGTCCGCCCGGCTGTCCGGTGTGTTGCGAGTCACGTCACGGCCCCGGTGTGCACCGGGCCGCACGCCTCGGCCGGCGCCCAGTGGCAACTGTAGCTTCACCAGTCATACGACGCGTATATAGTGAGCTGTCTTGCTCTGTAAATACTTTGCACGTCCTTTTTTCTTTTTTGTTTAAGCAGTGTTTGGCCTGGAAGAGTGATGTGCTTGCCGCTTACTCAAAGGATTAAAGAGTTAAAGATGTCTATGTCTTCTATTTTCACATAGCTCCCTGCTGTACGAGGCTTTCGGGACCTCTGCACTGTGACTGCTGAAGACTGACTTTTATACAAAACCTAGAAACCTTTCGACGACCATTTCATTAACTGCAGGGCTGGCACTTTGGAAAAGTCGCCACCAGAGCAATTTTTCCATCGCGTAACTAAAAATAAATCCTACTCGATCCATCTGGTGATCGCAGTGAAAAACCTGTTTTCTCTATGATTTAATTCCGCTGTACCGTGGGTGGAGGTAAAGGTAAGTTACGATCAGAACTTCCTTCTTCACACTCCTACCACCGAGTGAGGGTGACAGTGGCAAGAGCTGTGGCGAAAGACCGAGTTTCGTTTCTGAATAGGCCGTAGCGTCTTCATGGCTCTTCCCGCGACCAGAACCTTCCCCAGGGCAGCAGTAACCGCTCCACACTTAACACGGCCGGGCGGGGCGGCGGGGCCTCCTCCCCGTGAGTAGCCACACCTAGAACGCAAAACAGCCTTTAACTCCGGGAGTCCCCGGGATGGGTGCTGAAAACACTGATTCTAAGTCTCCCGGGGCACCCCAGTGTGGACGGGGCCGCCTCTCCGTGGGCCTCACCTGCGCGCTTAAATTTAATTGCCCTGCAGGTGCACGCGAAAGGGTCAATAACGGGCTTATTTACAGAGGGAGAGAGAGTGAGAGATGCAAGGTAACTGGAGCACCTGACCTGCTGGCTGACTCGCAGCTCTGGGAACAAACTAACTGAAAGCCCTGAGTCACGCAGTCCTGAGTGCCATTGCCCGAGCCCCAGCCACTGGAAAATGGCCCCTATTTATCCCCCAAAGTCCCAGAATTCCTGCTGGCTCCGCCCTGGGTCCTCGCAGCTCTCTCCCGGGTGCTGCTGGGAGTTGTAGTTTCCAGTCCCTGGAGCAGGGGGCGGAGTCCAGGAAGCTGGAACAGGGGGCGGAGTCCAGAAAGCCGGAGCAGGGGGTGGGGTCCACAGGACTCCCCAGAGTTCCTTCAGGACATCCTTTCCCTTAACAAAATGGCCCCTATTTATCCCCCAATGTCCCAGAATTCCTGCTTAGCTCCGCCCTGGGGTCCTCACAGCTCTCTCCCAGGTGCTGCTGGGAGTTGTAGTTTCCAGTCCCTGGAGCAGGGGGCGGAGTCCAGAAAGCCGGAGCAGGGGGCGGGGTCCACCAGACTCCCCAGAGTTCCTTCAGGACGCCCTTCCCCTTAACATAAGGATCCCCTAGTTCGAAAGGAGATGGTGTGTGGAGTGAGGCAAGCTTCACGTGTCATATCGCCTCACCCAAGGCGGCACCAGCGAAACCCAGGAGTCCACTGAGAAACACTATTAAAACGCCTGCAAGAAAATAGCTCCCTTTCTGTCTCGAGTACGGATGTGTACGTGATGACTTAGGAAAAACAGTGGGTCGCATGCAAGTAACTCTCCCCAGTTTAAATAATTGTAAGTTTAGCTGCCGTAGCTAGGAAGGTTCTGTGGCCGTGGAGTCTGGCCACGGCGGGGTTTGGGAGTTAGTCTTGAACGGGGTAGGGGGACCCGGACGCGGCTCCCCAAGAGATACGATGACTCCGGGAGTTGGCGATGTGGTGGTCGGATCCGGAGGAGACGTCTGCTGTGGGGGGACGTGTGCAGCGTGGCCAGCGAGCCTGCAACTGCGGTTTGGGGGGAGAAGGCTGAGAACCGAGGCGATCCAGGCGTGGAACGGAAGGCCCAGGAGCCGCCCCCACCACGCCAAGGGCATCCGGCCACCACGGTGCTCTAGGCGGTGTCTTTCTCTCTGGATCGAAAACAAAGATTCGCTTTCCATTCTGTGTGGCGTAACTGCATGTAGCGTACGGTACACAGACCGCCCCACGGCGGGAGGCAGCTCTCGGGTCTAGCTCCCCGTCCGACGGCCTTCTCAGACCCCAGACCAACACTGCTGTCCTCCACACTGCCATGCCAGAGCCTTTCCGCTGCCAGGACCTGTCCTGGCCACGTCTCTGTCCTGACGTGCTCAGCTGCACAGAGCACGGCTCCCTCCCGCCCAAGTCTTACCTGTGGGTCCCCAGGGCCTCTTGTGCTGGGGGTGTTGTCTTGGCCAGAGTTCCCGCTGGTCAAGCTAAGACAGTGAGGCAGGGGCCTCTCGTGGGACAGGTCTCGGTTTGAGGAACCGACTGGAAAACCGGTATCTGCTGAAGCAGCAGGCAGATATTATGGCCACATTAGCATAACCAGACCACCGCCACCGGAGTCCAGTGTGAACAGGAAGTAGAGCCGGGAGGTTTTCATCAGCCTGGAAAAACGAGCCCCTCGGGCAACAGCCGCTGTTCACTCAGCCCCTAGATTGTGCCAGACAGTCAGGCTCCAGGGCAGTCAGGGCCCCCCCAGGGCACACCCCCACCACAGGCAGAGTCAGGACCCCCCCAGGGCACACCCCCACCACAGGCAGAGTCAGGCCCCCCAAGGCACACCCCCACCACACCCGCAGAGAGTCACACCTGTTCTGCTCCCCACTCTGTCTCTGGTGAATCCGCTAGATACGTCTTTATTGCACACGCTAAGAGCATCGGAACATTCTGAGTCTCCACCCGGAGATACCAGGAGCAGCCGCTTCCCCACTCCCTCCAGTATCTAGATTGGCTTGAAGTTAACCACAATGGGCCTCCCCCGTGGCCTCGGGGTGAGTTTCAGGCTATCACCCCTACAGCGTGAGTCCATCCCCCACCAGGGAGGGACCCCAGGGCACAGCAGACCCCTCCTGTCTCCCCGCTGCTCCCCTCAGCTGTGGACTTCTGTCCATCCACCTGTTCTGGGGAGCCCTCTCACCCCCACACCTCCGGCCTGCACCCCAGTTCTTGTATAAATAAATAATCCAGGCACTTTGGAAAACTGGCAATCTGTGGTCTATCCGACGTACAAGGTCACCCACTCCTCACACTCCTAGCGAGGTACCTAAAGAGACATAAACTCTCTGGCTACAGCCAAACCTGGGCGCAGAAGTCCGTGGCGGCATTCTCTCTCACACTCCCAACCTGGAAATAACCCAGATGTCGGCCCTGGTATCTGAGCCAACACAATGCCATGGGGCCCCCACATACTGACACCCCACAAAACGCTGTCGCGCTAAGCCAGCGAGTTAGCGGACACACGTGGCTATAGGCTTTTGTGTGAAGTTCCAGAAAGTGCGAGGATGTGGAACCGAAAGACTCGGGCTCGCCCGAGGCCAGAGCTTGGCGTGGGTCACAGGGGCTGCGCCAGGCCCCCGGCTGAGAGGGCACGACAGGGCTGGGAGAGCCGTGCGCTGGGTGGGTTCCGTGGCGATGGAGGTGGAACAGTAAGGCGAGGTTTAAGGGCGAAAGTGTAGAGCCAAAGAGTGAGCCACAGGGGCCCTCCCTGGGGGCGCAGCGGGTTAAGCGCAGCCCTGGGAAGCCAAAGCCCCTGCAGCGAGATTCGATCCCCGCCCCGGAGGTGACCACAGGGCGCGGCAGGCCCCTCCCGACCCGCCCGCTGCTCCCCTCAGCGGTGGACCTCGTCCGTCTGCCTGTTCAGCTCCCCGCTCTGTCTCTGGTGAAGCCTCTCGCCACCCCTGCACCCCAGTTCTGTAGGAATAGCTAAATAAATCTTTAAGAAAAGAAATAAAGGGCGTGGGACGGAGGATGGCCCAGAGGGGCAGCTGAGCCCACACGCAGCCCCAGGCCAGGCCCGGGGCCGGCGCACACAGTCCCGCTGCCGGGAAGCTTCCCTTCCCGGCCTTCCACCTTCGCGTCTTCAGGTTTCGGTCCTGGTTTCTGTGAAACTGAGGATGTGGGTAACAAGCGTCACCGGAAGGTTGTTTCATCTGTCCCTGCAGGCCGGCAGCGGAGGGCTGGATCTCCTGGCTGCCAGTCTCACCCGCCGCGCCCATCAGGCCCACCATCTCCCTTGAGGCTCCTAAGGCCCAGCACCGACCTTAAATCAGCCTCTCAGAGCCCTGCGGGGCGTTAACAGGTGAGCGTGTTTTCCAAGCAGGACAGGTGTGGGGTGAGCGCTCTTTCTGGGGAGCTGCCAGCCCCCCTGTCTGTGCGTGAAGACGGCTGGCCAGACCTTCAGAAAATAAAATTCCCGTTTGTCCAGCAGAGCGGCTGACTGGGCCAGAGGGGGGTGGGGGGGACCCCCAGGCGCCTTGGCCTCAGAGCCAAGCTTCACATGGTAGATTGGAATAAAGCCACCGAGGTCCAGGCCAAGGCCACGGAGGTCCAGGCCGAGGCCCCCAGGGGCGTCCCCAAACGCAGAAACTCAGAAGTGACTGGGCGCCCCTCAGCGGGTGGACGGGAACCCAGCTGGGGTCCATCCCCAGGACAGAGGCGCCTTGGGAACGCCTCTTCTGCAGGGGCTGTCGGTCCTGGGAGGGGCAGAAAGGGGGGTGATGGAAGCCAAGGGGCCACATCTCACAGCTGAGAAAATCAGAAACCCCACCGGCGTCTGTTCATCGCGCCCCCAAAGCAACGCCTCCGCGGCGCGACCCAGACTCTGGCCATCTGCTCGCCGCGGGGGAGCAGCGCCCGCTGCGGGTTGTGGCTCCCCGCGAGGCCAGAACTTTCCAGCGTGACTTGCAACGGAAGTTAAAGCGCCCGGTGAGCCCCGAGTAGGGAGGCTTCTTCCTGCAGGTGTGATCTCACCATCTCGGGCTGGGGGCGGGGGGGGGGGGAGGGCGCTTCGCCCCCGCGCCAACCTCCAGGACACTCGCTGCTTCCCTCCGCGGCCGTCCCGGCAGGCGGCGCCCTCCCCCCGCCCAGCGCCCTCTCCGCACCCACCCAGGCACCCCGCAAATTCAGAGCTGAAAGCCGGGGCCAGCGCGAGGGAAGCTGAGGGC